TTATAAAAGTATATACATAACAATGTTATGAATTCTGTAGGAGTTTAATTTCTCTGCTGAAACTGACACAAATACTCATTTAGAAAATATGCATTCCCCTCGTCTCCTAATGAATTACATACAATTTGCGAATATTAAAACTTGACTAATTTTGAAATGATTAGAGCTCTTTTGAAAAGAAAATTTCAATATCATTTGTATACTGGTAACAAATTTACTCAGTTCCAGAAAAATGTCACTAAAACAACACAGGAAAAATTTTATGAGCAAAAGTACTCTCCCCAAAACAAGAAGGAAAAAAATGAAAGAAAGAAAATGAAATGAACTGCAAGGTCCTTAACAGCAGATACCCTAAAAGATTATAATCCTATACATTTACTTAAACTGAACTCAAACACCTGGCATTCAGCTGTATTACTAATTGGGTAATTTTTCCTCTTTTGACAAGTACCTTCTACTAAATATCCTAGTTTAATACAGAAATTATCTTAAGAGCAGATATTTTTAAATCTCTATAACCCGTAATATAAAATAGTAATAATATGTAGAAAATAACACATAGTAACATTTCTTTAGATATTCTATACCAGAATAGCTTTGCATATATGAACATTAACACTTAAAAATGTTAGTAAGAGCTTATTCAATACCAGTCATTCTGCTCTATTCTGGGCCTTTGATTTAACTAAAATAAACCTTACTGTGTAATTCCATTTGGATAAATATCTATGTCCCCTGAGTGAGGAAGAATACAAAAAGTCTCCGTCACCTGAGTATACTCCCCAGGACAACCACTACTCTTTTTTTTTTTTTTTTTTTGTACCAGGAATTGAACCCAGGGACACTTAACCATTGAGTCACACCCCCAGCTCCTTTTTAATTTTTCTATTTTGAGACAGGGTCTCATTTGGTTGCTTAGGGGCTCACTAAATTGCTGAGCTTGGCTTTGAACTTGTGATTCTCCTGCCTCAGCCTCTTGGGTTGCTGGGATTACAGGCATGCACCACCATGCCCAGTGACAAATGCTATTCTAGTCTCAATTACCATAGTCTGGGTCTGGCCTTTTCTTGAACTTTCTATAAATGGAACTGTGCAGATACACTTTTCTATGTCTGACTTTCTTCACTCAACATAAAGTTCTTAAAATTTATCCATGTTGTTGTATCTATCTTCATTTTTTTCATTCATTACTGAGGAGTACTGCATTGCAGGTACTCTATGACTTACAATAACATATGTCCCAGCAAACCCACCATACACTGAAAATATCACCAGTTGAAACTACATTGACATACCTAACCTACCAAATCTCCTGGCTTAGCCTAGCCAAACTCACACGTGCTCAGGTCACTTATGCCAGCCTCAGCTGGGCAAAACCATCTAACATCAAGTATTTTATAATCAAGCGCTGAATATCTTGTGTCATTTGTTAAATGGCAACACAGCACGCTGAACAGTACTAGTTGCTTCCCTGTGACTGAGTGGATAACTAGGAGCTGTGGCTCACCACTGCCGCCCAGCATCCTAAGAGAGGGAGGCATCGGTGCCCATGCCACCCAGCCCAGGAAAAGAGCAATACACAAAATTCAAAGTAGCACTTTTGCTGGATGCACATTGTGTTTGCACCACCATAAAGTTAAAAACAAAACAGTAAGTCAGGAACTGTCTGTATATTAGTTTACAGATGACCTGTACTGTAAATAAAGGTTGCTATGAACATTCACAGCTTAGATTTGTGTGAACATGTGTTTTCATCTTTGATAAATACCTGGGAGTAGAATTCCTGGGTCACGGGGCATGTACTAGGTATACTCCTAGGTAGGCCTAGGAGTGTGTGTGGGTATGAACTTCAGGGGAAGATGACAAACTGTCTGCCAAGTGGCTGTGTCGTCTTACATTCCCACCAGGAAAGCATGAGAGTTCTGACTAATAACCCCTATCTTTGCTGATATTTGATGCTGTCTACCTTTATCATTAATTTTGTGGGTGTTAAGCAGTATCTTATTGAGGTTTTCATTTGTAGCTTGTATCTCTCCCACTACTGATGATGACACCATGTTTGCATGGGCATATCAACAAGTATCTTCAGTTAAGTGTTTCTTTCTTTTGCTAATATTTTTAACTTTAAATTTTGAAATAATTTCAGACTAACAAAAAAGTTTTTAAAAGTATATCAAGATTAAATGAAACTTTTTAAATTTACCAAAAAAAGTCTATGAAGAGTTCCTGTATATCCTTCACTCTGCTTCTCCAAATGTTAATATCTTATATGACCACAATATAATTACCCAGTTATGATCAAATACTATTAAATTCCATAGGCCTTAGTGATGAAATTGTCAGACGTATACTGTAAATTATTTTCTTTAGTCTGTGACTTTCCTTTGTGTTTTCTTAATGACTTCTTGATGAAAAAGAGTTTAAAAGTTTTAGAAAGCCCAATTATTCACGCATCCAAATTTTGAAAAGACAGTAAAGTAGAAAGTAATTTTAAAAAATTAAGAACTACTAATATTCAAATATCTACTTTTCAAAGTGTCTTGAATATGTAAAGCAAGAGAAGACCATTCAGGTAACCTTATACTCCTGCCTATACAATCGCAGTGTTCAAAGAATCAGAAAGTATATTTTTGCTGCAGTCAGACTGTTGGCGGGAGACAAAGACCAGGGCATCATCCAAATCTGCATGATGCCAATGAAAGAGCTGTGAGGCATAAAGGAGGTTAACAATGATGGTAAAGAGCCGAGGATCAAGAGAGACATCTTGCCTAGGCTCCATGAAGGTTACTGACAAAGAAACAAGGTATAGGCAGAGAAGCCATCTTGTAGTTTTCTGATGAAAATCAATCAAAGCAAGTGAGATCACAGACCACCACATGTGGTCAGTTCTAAGACCGGAAATTCCCAGATGCAGATTCTAAAGAAACAAATTGTATCTGGGCTGTGGTTTTCCTGGCAGAAAGGCTGAAACATGGTTAGGCTATTGCCATTCTCAGTCCACAGATACGTGCTATCACAGGCCACGCATGCTCCTACGACATCCAGATCACCCAGTTCTAATACCTGCTACAGCAAAGCCCAAAGACACCAACATGAAATCACCAGGGTGATCTTCAGTCAAAGATGCCAACTCAGAAAGTTGGAAGAAAATATACTTTTGCATACGCTGCTTTGTAACTAAAGAGACATTGTCGTGGACATTATTGTAGCTGACCTGCCAACTGTTTCTGCCTTCCTTCCTTCCCCAGAGAACTCACATTTATCTCCTTCCACCCCATCCTGTTCAGCTTATGTACTTTAGGGAAATGCTTCATTCTCTAGGGCAATAAATCCATTTGTCAATTACTGTTCATAAGTGGCCATGTAAGTCTAAGGTTTGCTAGGAACTCTGGGAAAACAAACCTCTATTATTATTATTATTATTATTTATTTTTTTAGTGACAGAATTGTTTCTCTCTTCCAGTATATAATAAGAAAGCACATGGGTCTAATCCTGGAAGCCAGCCTCAGGATAAAACAGCCCTTTAGAGGGGAGAACAGAGATGAAAAGAACTTGAATCTTCACATGGCTTTTCTTCTGTATTAGACAACCTAGACCCTTGTCTCTCTCTGGATTTGCTATGATGTGAGCCAGTCATATTTTGTATCACTGAAGTCAGTTTGTGTTGTATTTTTTTAAAATTAATTAACTGTACATCCAAAGCATCCTAAATTATAGAATATCCTGCTTAATTCAATGTCCCTGCCTTGGCTCTAAATGAATTCTTCCTGGGCTTACGCTTGCATACTCAGTTATAATCATGCAGTGAGATGAAATGAGAGCAAGCTCAAGTTCCACATGAAAAATGGGAGAATATAATTATACTTTTAAGCCTTAGTTCTCAATCCAACAGACCATGTGGTTTCCTAGTATTGCATTACAGTTTAGCATCAGCTAAAGAATGAAAAAGAAATGCTCAGCGAATTTTCAAAATTTAACTATTGATCATGAAAATAAGCTCTTGTAACATGAACTCAAAATGAAGTCTCAGATGTGCATGATGGTCACAAGGGCCCAAGAGCAGACAAGGCTGATATTTTATTCTTAGTACCATTGAAAGAGTGTTTTAGTCCTTTTTACTAAGGTAATTTTCACCCAGTGGTGAGTATTCCAATTCTACAAAAAATTAATCATCTCAAATAGTATTCTGTTAGAAGTGCAGTGCTCTAAATTGATGAGTGGAAGAACCATTTTCTAAGAGAGACATAATTGTCAAATGCAAATAAGGACCCAGATTCTAGGTCCAATAAAAAACAAACCTAATAATGATTTTGCACGAGTAATTAAAACTTGCTAAATTTAGGTCTTTTGTCCTGGAAAACAAATTTTCCACAACTACTGACAAATTCTGGTGTGTTTGTTGTAAGGAAAAAATAACATCCTTATTTTGAAATACATCCTTAATTTGAAATAAATGGCCCATATTCCTGAATAGTGATGGGGTTGACTGTCACTCACAAGCAATCTCCCTAAAACAATTTCCATGTGCAAGTTTGGTTTCTGTCCTATACAGTCAAGAGTTCCAGCATGAAGCTTTCTGCCTACTGAATATGTTATACCAATATATCCAGTTTTTTCTATGCTAGACATTAGGAAGATGACACGTGATCAGGGGCTTTTAAAACTTAAACAAGGAAGATCTGCTAAATATGAATATTTTCCCAGGGTATATGCACTAAACCATATCTGATATTTTATGCTATTATATTATGAAAATATTTATAAGAGCTTTGGTATGGCTGATAAATCACATTTATAATCACCCACTAACTTCTTAGTTATATGCCATTTAGACGCTAAGATTTGTGAAGTTTGCCTGGTTCCTGATATGAATAGTCATATAAAGCCATTAACAAGATGATATTAAGGGAATTTTCAATGATTTCAAGGATTATTCTTTAGTGATAACTGTATTTTTAAAGTGACAATTATACTTTTCTAACAATCCTCTCTCTTAAAGGTACATACTGAAGATTTATGGATATCTGGGACACGTTTTCAAATAATCCAATGGAGCAACAAAGAAAATATGCTGGTAACTGGAGATGCTGAAAGACGGCAACATGAGAGTTCATCATACTGTTTTAAAAATTTTCCACAATAAAATTAAAATACATTTTGTTAAATATAAGAATTAACAGAATGGCTCAGTGGAATTTTAGAAAGTCCTAATAACATAATACAACTGCTCTGAAATCTGATATTTTTTTTAACTCATAACTACTTTATTGCAGTATAATTTGCATCTATATAATGTATCCACTATCTGTGTACAGTTCATAGACTAAATTTTTAGTAGATTTATACAGTCTTACAACCATTAATTACAAAAATGATTTAATTTTAAACTTAGAGGATGTTTTTGCTTTTGTTGGGGTGGCAATATTTTAAATTTTTGGTGTTGTGAAACAAACATTTAAACAATGGTCAGCATGACAGTTTTGCCAGGCCTAAAAACCATGCCTATTTTTCCTCTCCTGGAAGAGCAGAAATCCTAAAACACCAGTCAGCAACCAGATTTTGTGACTAAGCTGCCCCCCCCCTGTCCATCTTTACTGACATTTTCCTTCCATGCCAAGCTATGAGGAGTACTATACAGCTTTTCTCTTTTCCATATAACTTCTCAGCTAGCAGATGGCCACCAGCATCTGCAGTGGGCAAATGGGAGGGAGTTGTGAATCAACCCCTCTGTGTTTCTAGGGCTAAACTAGGGCAGCCCCAAGGAGGACCCCGATCCCTACCCCAGGTCCCCTAGGGTCTAGCAGAATTATAATGTATCCTTCCCATTTCTAAAGGAATAGAAAAAAAATGAATACAGTAAAATAGGCCTGAAAAAAATTACCTGTAGGTAAAGGGATTATGTTGTAGCCTCAACAGATGTTCTAAGGAAGCTTTGCAGAGTTGGCATAAAGTGAGCGTCCACTTTGCAATGACTTCTGGTATTTGTGCCCACAGACATTGTTCTGTTACTTCAGCGTCTGCGCAAGGAGTCGGCATTTGTACATTCATTTTCAAGTTTCTAAATTTGAACTTTCTTTCTCAACGGTTCATTTTTCTAATGAAATCTTATAGCTTTTCCATATGAGTGAAGAGATAACATCAGAATACTTCATCTGGACACACACCATTTCAATACAACTCAGCAGTTGATCTCCCTTTATTTAAAAAAAAAAAAAGGCTCAGGAAATGATGGTTTGAAGATTTAGGAATACCATAATATATATGACTTTAAAATCAGGAGTGATGCTTGTATTTCACTGTTTTGAGCATTGAGGAAACTAAAAGTGTACAGAGATGGACACTTGTGGTCATGTTTGATAATTTGTCATACAGAAACTACAGAAGCTATTTTTTTGAGTGTGACAGGAGGTGCTATTAAAAAACAAAATGCACCAAAGAGCTGGAGATGTAGCTCGGTGGTAGTGTGCTTGCCCAGCATGTGTTAGGTTCTGAGTTTGATACCCAGCATGGCAAAAAACAAACCAACAAACAAACCTGACCACAACTGTACCAGCACATCAGGTGTAAACTAAAACTACCCCAGGCAAAGTTCAACACAAGTGCCTGTAGTTACAAGCAAGTCAATGCAAAACCATTTATAATTAATGGGATGTTGCTATAAATTTCAACTCTTCAGTAACCAGAAATAATTCCTCAATAGTTACTCTCAAATTCCTACTTTCAGAAAGCTTTAGCCACCAGTAAAAGAAAAGCTGAAAGTAATCTCCTTTACAATCCCACCCCTGGAGCTGTGATCATTTTTTTTACCTGTGTCCATTAGTATCCTCATCTTTACCTTCATAGTAAGTATCCTTCAACTACAGACTTTAGCGAGAAATACTGAATATGGTAAAACAGGCACTAATATATCAAATGAGAATTATGACCGTAATTATGACGATAATGGCCACCAATCACAAATTTGGGGGAGAAAATTCCACTCTGAGGATGATATATTTCCAATGAGAAAATTTAAGAATCACTGTCCCAATTCATCATCACTGTAAAACATCAACAAAATAGAGCATACACTTCTGAATAAGAAAAAAGTAGACCTGGGGGTACCTCTCAACCTATTTATACCACTTAGATCCTCTTAACAGTTGAAATAATGTTTCAATTTCCTTTAAGGTCTCTTCCTGCTAAAAATGTCATAATTAAAATTCTCAGCAGCACTTAGGTCCATGAACTTTAAAATCCAAATCAAACCAAAAAAATTAAAAACAGCTGGAATTTATAAACCAGAAGGATTTTCTACTCTGGGAAAGAGATTATAATGAAGTATGGCACAATTTTATGAACTTATTAGTCCAACTAAGTGGATTTACGTTCTGCAGCACTTCAATACTTTTATAAGTTGGAGCCCTGCCCAAAAATGAAATGGGAATTTTTTAGTTGCTTTTTATACAGAAGCCAAAATGATTTACATTTAAGAATTAAATTGCAGATTAAAGCATGTCATGAAGCTGAAATGGTTTGTGATAGGTGAGCAGTAATACAGTGAATTTATTTCTCAAGAAACAAGCAATAGACATGCTCAAATTATTTCTGAATGAACTTCCAAAATGACTAGCAACATTCATTTAAATACTCCAATATTAAGATGGAACCAGCTTAAATACTGGTTCTGACAATTTATTCTATTATGTAAAATATCATGAGGAGAAATTTAGAAACATTCAGAGGATTCCAAATGAGAAACTACAGTATAACTTTTCTACTAGCATTCAGAGCAAAATGCGTTCCCTTTTTCTTAACTCATCACATCTATTATTATTTTATATTTCTATTTAAATTTAGAAACTATTAGTAAAAGTATCCATTTTCAGGCACCCTCACTAAAGAAGCCCTCAGGAGAATCTTCTATGCAACCCCAGATGGAAATGACACTCATATACAACTTTGCTATTTGTTTCCCAAAGCCCAAATCGTGTTTCCCCTTATCTAAATTCTACCATTGGTTGGGTCCAGTAAGCAAAAAAATGACTTTAGTTTCTTAATGTCATCCCTAAGAATGTGAGAAATTCGAAATCGCTCTGACTACCCAATACCAGCAACAACAATAAAAAAATTCTTTTTTTTTTTTCCGACAAAGGAGAGGTCAGAGAAATCAACACAGAAAGGGAACTGAAGCAAGCTAGCAGAAATGTGAGAATGATTTAAAAATAGTGATGATATAAATTGCATCAAAAGACTATCATTTAATGTTGAGTTACAGTGCACTACAGGGACTCAATTCAGAAGATAAGAAGCTTCCATTTTCTCCCATTGTTAAATTTTTAAGTATTATCTTCTCTAAGATCTGATACAAGATAGACATTTAACAAGTGTCCACCATCTACACATGGCTTTGAGGAGATCTGATATCTTGATTTACAGCTCGTTCATTCATTTTTGCCTGGAGTGCACTAGGTGCTGTGTTATTCGCAGAATAAAAGACTCAACAAGACAGAATCCCTGCTTTGGGCAGTCCAGTACCAAGAAATACCTAGGCAATTTTAATAGAATGTCTTAAGTCTGCACAGGGACAACTTCAGGTTCCTGGTATTACACGCTTCCCAGAGGCGGCCACCTCCACACCCACTACTGAATGTCAGGATGGATTAGCTGGAGTGAAGGAGGATCAGAGTGTAATGAAATAGAAGGGACGCTGGGTGCCAACGCCAAAGGGTGGGGCAGGCAGCCAAATGGCCAGATGAGAGGACTGGCGCTTTCTTAAGCCAAGTATAGCTGAAGGAGAGGGTCTGCATGAGAGGCAGAGCTAGAGAGTTAGGTAGTTTCCAAAGGTCAAATATGATGGTGAAGAAAGAAGTCAAGGATCCCTGAAAGGCAAAGTCACGTGGGCATGAGGCTGCTGGGGGGCTCCGGGTTCTCCTGGCGCCTGCACCCTACTGCTACCCTCACTGCAAGGGGTTCCAAGGCACCGTGTCCACAACGCTATTAAGTGGAATGGGTCTTTCAGTTCAGCCTGGGGTCTCAGAATAGCAAGCTGAGTTTGGTCCATGCGGCTTATAACATGGGCATCTACAGGCTTCACGCAAGGCACGTCGCCCACAGCTCAGCACTGGGTCTGCCTGGCACCAGAAGGCCATCAGAATGCATAGATGCTGTCCTCACCTGGGGCTGGGGGTGACTCCCACTGCAGGGCAATTCCAGCTTCATCTGGGAGAAGCATACAGTGACCAAGGCTGGGCTGGGGTGTGCAGGGGTGGCAGGGGTGACAGACTGATAGCCTGAAGCTTACAGCTCCCTGTTTTACAGGACACAGCCATTCCTGCTATGGTATCTGTGGCTCTGCTTTCCAACACTTTTTTCCATCCACTCCTATTATTTTGGTCTAAATGTCTGGGAACAAAGGAACGTATCTGCCATCTTTGCTGAAGCAAGACAGGGAGCAGCAGGTCTTGAGGCTTAGCCACCTCACCTATGAAATGGAGGACAGGCAACGCTGCTAAGTGCTGCGCCCAGCAGGGCGGGCCCTTGTACACTGTTCTCATTTACTATTAGGATGAAGTGATCTACTTCTCTGGAACTATAAAGGGTGAATGAGTATCATTCCAGCTTTAGTCAGAAAATAAATCGTCCAATGGTCTTTGAGGTCCTGTGAGATCTGATGCCATGTACCTACCTGCACTAATCTAATGCCACCCACATTTTAGCACCCTCTCTCCAGCCACTGGCGCGATGGCGATTCATCTGTCCTACTGCCTCTTTCTGGCCTGGGCCCTTTAACTGTGCTCACAGCACTTCTGAACTTTTTTTTCTCTCATTCTCCAAATCTCAAGTAATTTTACCAGTGAGGTCTTTTCAGACCATACTGTGTAGCATTTCCATTCCCTGCACCCCAGTCACATTTCTTCCGCTGACCCACACCTCCAGTGTAGACAGTTTTTTATCAACAGCGAGGGCAAATCATGTCTTGAGGAGTTATTCATCACAAAAATAGTTCTGTTTGGCACATTATGCTACATGAAATAAGCAGTCACAGAAAGACAAACACTCTGATTCTGCTTACTTGAAGTATCTAGAGGATGCAAATTCAGAGAAGCAAAGAGAATGGTGGTTGCCAGGGGCTGGTGGGGAGAGAGATGAGAAGATAAGTGTTAGATTAGCACCGAGCTTCAGTTCTGCAAGATGCAAAAAGTTTTGGAGATGAACAGTGGTGATGGTTGCACAAGAACATGAATGCACTTAGAGCCACTGAGCTTAAAAATGATTGATGGTAAAATTAAGTTACACATACCTTATCACTGTTAAAATTGAAAAAAGGGTAACAATGATATGTGCTTATCCAACTAGCATAT